TATGTGACTTTAATTTTAGATTTAATGGTTTTATTATGGGAATTTCCCAGTAAGAGCTCATTTAAAGTTCCCCCATGTCAGTATAGTACAGGACCAAGGGTATAGCAAAGAACAAGGTATAGTCGTTCGGATGGGACGATAAACCGAAGTCCCGTGTACACATTGGCGTGCATGTAAAAGATCTCTTGATATTTGGAATTCGATACAAGAGTAGGCCGTAGTGCCGCTGTGCCGGCAAAATTTCCCTCATAGCACACTATATGGCGTATAATGCACGTCTTCGTTTGCCTATAGTAGGACTTTAAACTCCATTTCATTTTATTTTATATTAGAATAGGGTGGATTAAGTTCTGAGATGTTACAGACAGTTCAACATTTTATGCAAATCGTTTTTTTTATTCTAAGTGTGGGGGGATTGCACCACACACAGTTAACAAAATACGGGCAAGTCACAAACGTACATATCAGATTAAATGAATGGATCCGGGGGGGGGTAGCTGTAAGCGTCCATTGTGCTGTACACAAGACAAAGACAAATCATCAGGAAAAAAATTGAGTAATGATCTGCTATATGCCTCCAGAATGTAAGAATATTGAAGTAAAAAATACCTATACAAGTAACCATATCTGTGAAATGATATAAAAAAAGACAAGTAGTCTAAAACTAAATGTTCTATGTTATAGTGAGAAAAATTTTAAGTGTTCATAAGAATTAAGGTATATTGACTATACAGTTAGGGCGTATATCGTATATACATGTGAAATTCTCTAGAGATCAGTATTATTACGTTAACTCTCTTGGTATCAGGATTATTTTTAATTTTTTGTAAGATATATCCTTTTAACGTAGTTCTAAGGATAATAAACTACTTATCCCTTTTTATGTTTGATTTGGTTAAAAAGAAACAAAAAGGTCTGTATCAATAGCAAGGGATTCCAAAAATATGTTTTCTTGTAGGATGTTGTAGGTTTTGGGAATTTTCTTTCCTGCTAATTTATGACCTGTCAGGATTTTTTGTTCTGAAAATGGAAAATTCTCTTTTTATTTGTTGAAATATCAATTTATTTTTGAAGATTAAATTCTATATTTTTGTCTGTTAGCTTTTAACAGGATGCTAAGTTAGCAAATTCAAAAGATAAAATTTATAAAAAAAGCAAAGGTTTATCTGCTTGGGTTTTTGGTCGAGTTTATTCAGTCAAACTACATGAAATATGAAAATAAAAAAAACAAAACCCAAGTGTTATTTGCATCCACGTATTATTGATCGAGTTTACGTCAGTCAAGCCACATCCGATATTTTTCTGCAATATTTTTTTCTTTTTTTGAGTTGATTAAGGAGATGTTATTTAAGTGGATGTATCAAATTTGTGAAACACATTTCAAGATTATTTCAGATCTTTCTTGGTGGGTAATTATAAAGAAATTTTTTAAAATCCTGAATATCTCTAATATTTTTTTAAAAAAGTGATATTCGTATTTTACTTTAAGATACATTATGTAAGATTTAGATAAAGAACTGACCGTTCTTGCTATAATAGTTCAAAAACAGATAATTCAAAATTAATGTATTGAAAATTTCATTCAAATTAGTTTATTCTGTGCGACGTTATCACCGTTTGAAGTTTGGTCATAGATTGTTTATTATCGTAACAACGTTACTTGTTAATCGAGATTCAGCCTCGCTTCTCCATTTTTAAATGAAATCATTAAATGGCGACCGTATCTCAATCTGTTTACATCTGCGCCATCCAATGGCTTAGAGAGAGTTGATTCTGAGCTTGTCATGTGAATAAATATCTAAATAATAATTCATATAACATTTGAAACCAAAAAAGGCCTGCAATAACCAGATTTAGCTCTTACATAAATGCATCTTGTAATCCATTTTAAACTACAATATTGTGAAAGTATAAAGGATCTAAACCACTAATATTTGACACCTAGAAATTGACACAAATCAGAGAGAGAGAGGGTGAGAGAGAGAGAGAGAGAGAGAGAGAGAGAGAGAGAGAGATGGGTTTAACATCCACTCGACACAAACTAGGTCATTTCGAGACTAACATGGTTCAATTATATTTCAATAATTCGCTAGCGCGTAGGGGTCTTCAGCACTGGGAGGAACCGGAAGACTCACAGAAAACCCACGAGGTTGGACAGGAGACCCTACTCCTTGTCACGTACAACCGGGTATTCGAAACAACACCAGTTGACTCAATGACAGACCTTACGATACAGCGTGCACATGCTAACCATTCGCCCCCCCCCCCCCCCCGACAAAATGGGTCTTAACGTATATAATAATGTAATATGAATGTATATAAACTAATTTACATTGAATCGTTTCTGTTTTTACTCTAATTTCAAATCAGTTATGTTCGTCGAAATACGCCAGGAGTCTCAATGGAATGGCAATCTCTAGCGTCTAGTTATTCCAGTCTACCACGATAGTATTTATTGTGCACGCTCTCCAGATAATAATATGGCGTCACCGTTTGACATGGCTTGTGGAATATGCCTAGCCTCGTTTTTCGAGTCCCTTATTACAAATACCGCTTACAAATCGTACACGATTCGTGTACCAATGGTAAAATGTTGTTTTTTGTCTTAAATATTGGATATCAGAAGCCCATCTTTTCCCGGTAAGATCACAACATCAATGTTGATTTAAGTTGACAAACAATTCGTGTTTTCAATGTCGAAGACTTTGGATGATATTGAGACTTAGATACTTTAATCTCTGAAATGAACATCAGTCGAAAATGGCCCCATTCCCTTCAGTATTTACAAAGATGAGATGAATTAAAACTTTCGGAACATCCAGCATCCTCTTGTTGTTGTTGTTGTTGTTGTTGTTGGTGTTTAACATCCGCTTCCACCGAAGGTGATATCGCAGACAAGTCTTATTTTTCAGTTTTATTATCTCAGCTTCCTCTGAAAGTACCACCAATATATGTTGTGTAAAATTCTTTGATAGGCCTCCTCCTCTTTTCCACCCGATTGAATCCGAGCTAGGATATTATTTTTACTGTTGATATTTGGGTATTGTTTTCTTAATTTAATGTCAAATAATTCATTTCTTCGTGTGGTTGCGATGCATGGGCGTGTTAAGGGGTTCACGGTGGAGACAACATCAAGTTTGGCGTGAGGTCAGGGGGTTTACCCGGGAATCTGATTAAAACACAGATCCTATTTCGTTTCGTTTTTTATAGTTCAAAATTTCGTTTTACTTGTCTTTACTACACTAGGATCTGGAAGACTTGTTATATATCCCGTGTTCTGAATGATGTGAGGGATTAGCCAATGAAACGGTATGTTACGGCAAGTTTTTTGGCGTGAGGTGCACGGAACTGTGGGTAACCCACTAGAAACATCAACGTTGACTGATTAATCAATGTCTGACGTCATAGGGTCAAAAGCCGCTAGTATGACATATGGCGGACCTTCCACTACAACCGGTCAGATCTGCATGTAGTGTAGACCATCGAAAGTATTTAAATAGATCTGTATTTGAATCAGATTGGATAAAATCAGATGCTCTTCTGATGAAGATATTTTAAAAGTTATAATTTTAAACGTTTGGTTACCTATAACCAGGACCGTTGACAAGAGAATCCTACCAGGGATACAGGTGAAGAGTCCAGGTGAAGAACGATCTAAGTCACATTTTTGTCTTTTCGCATAAAAGGCCAAACAGACTTTAGGACGAGAATGCTTGACGCGAACAAAACAACTAGTTGGTTTAATTACAACTTCAAAATGATGTTTAATACAAACAAGAATTACCAGTACAACAACCGACTTCCACTTTTCAGACAAATTAAGGTCAAATAAATACGATGGACTTGTATTTGTCCGGGAGGCCATTTCAGAAAGGTCTTGGTTCGATGCGACTCCGGTCGTTTTTACCTGAAATTTATTGTTCCACAGAAAGCTTATACAATTTTCTACCAGATGGCGCCATTAACTGGCGTTCATTGAAAAAGTGACTTAGATCGTTCTTCCCCGAGTCTCTTCGGGTATTTATTGGGAGATGCTAATAGTAGGCCGGTTGGGGAGGTTCGGTATTTCCGGAGTCCAAAATGAGTATTTTGGGGAATACTAACCCTGACCCTTTAAGAGGGGTAAAAGGTCAATTGGGTCCATGTCCAGTCTTCCAGAAAGGGTTAGGGATACGGTTAATATTCTCCAAAATTCTCATTTATATAAAACGGCCATTTTGAAAGTAGGCCTACTCCTTGTCATGTGCAAACGTGGGACTGAACTAATGACCCTAGATCAATCGGAAACTCCAACTCAGTGGGACAACATATACAGTAGTTGGTGTCGATCCAAGATGGTGTCCCAGAAAGTAACCCGTGATTTTCCTGCGTGGTTTTCACGTGTCAGTTTTGCCGGACAGTGTGTCTGCCAAGGAACAGAGATGAAATGGGGGTTAACATCCTATTGTGCTGCTCCGACTGGGCTAATGAAGGCAGTGGCTGGTCGAAAGAAACGAGTCACAGTGTACACGTTTGCTTGCGCATAAACTAACCCTTGACAGTGGGAATTTCTCGAAGAAAAGGACGAAACGGCGTTGTCCAGACCCCCCCCCCCCCCGTTCCCCACCACCCACATCCCCATAGCACCTGCTTAACTTATGCCCGTCTTCAATAGCATGGTCTGTGCAGAAAAACAGGAAATGAAATAAAATGAAATGAAATTTAACGTCCTACTGTTCTGCTCCTAAACTGGGCTAATGAAGACGGGCATACGCCATACAGTGTGCTATGAGGGAAATTTTGCCCGGGCTACGGCCAACTCTTATCTCGAATTCCAACTGTCGATGGATCTTTTACGTGCACGCCAATGTGTACACGGGACCTCGATTTTCCATCCCACCCGAAGGACTAGACAGGTGTCCTTTTCAGGCCCTCCTGCACCACCGAAGCATAAAACAGGAAGGGAAACCGAATTTCAGTTCAAAAGAGATAACACAATATAACAAAAGATTTAAATTTTTTCGCTTTTATTGCATAAGTTAAATAAAACTTTGTGGTGTAGACAAAATACACGCGTCACGTGACAGAATGGTGAACGCAGATCAACACATAGGAATTTAAAATGGCACAAATTAAAAACAGAACATAGAAGAAATATTATCACAAACAAGCCATGATTTGAGAGACAGGATGTAATTTATCTTTAAAAACAGAAAGGAGAGGCTATAGTCATTTTCCAATAACTGGGAAATCCATCAGGACCTATAGTTGTTTCCATCCGGGCATTCTTCATCTAAAACATCTTTAGACAGAAAAGGATATCAAAAGTTAGCCGAATGCAATCCCCTATATATCGTTCATACTTTGTTTCTGTTTTCTGAATTCAAAGTTAAATAATTAATTTGATATTTTCCGAAAAATGCATTGGACGCACAGAGATTTTGATATATTTGGAGCTTTAGAATAAAGAAACCAAGACATTTTTAATTTCAATTTAAAAAAGAAAACAAAATATTGTTGTCTCTTTGTTCAAACCGACGCTTCCCGGTCGTTTTTTTATAGCCAAGGTAGATAATTTAGTTATTAGAACTTGACAATAAGCGTCGTGATCTTGTCAACGAAATATTCACAATAAATTCACAGCTATTTGTATATATATATAATATATTTATATACAATAATTTATATCTCACACAAAATAGTTTTAATTTCAAATTTTACTATTAACACTATTCACAAACAACACAGCTAAACTACAGCATTCAAAATGGCGTCGGCTTTCGGATTTTCAAATATTTGAATCGAAAAGAGTAAAAAAAAAAAGTCCTTAAATATATATATATATATATGTGTGATGATGAAAGGAAGGAAATAAATATATGATGTAATGACATGCATCTCGTATATTCTCACGAGATGTAGTCAATGTTTATAAGTTTTTAAAGATAAAATGTCACGTGATCAAACAATACGTTTCTTGATCTGTTTCAGAGAAAAATAATGACGTCATATGTACACATACGGTATATAAATAACCTATATATATATTCCACGATAAACATCAATTCATATAACACGTTGGATATTTCTTTACAACAATTCGTCACTCAGCAAAAAAAAAATATCCACATTTTCTTGGCAGTCTTGTTTTATTAATTATTGAAAACTACTGTAAAACCAGCTCCTAGTCAATATGTATTACTCCGCAGTGAATGCCCGCTCCTTCATATCAAGGTGCATGTAAATTATTTGGGCTGGAACGAGATCTTGAAGATTTGACAGATCGTCCGAGTGACTAGCCCTTATTGTCTTATTATATAGAATAGCACTTCCGTTAACAGTCACTCGGCAAACTGAGGTATATTTTGTTGCTTAGCCTTTCACTTGTGTGCATTCGGACTTCATCATTGACTTAAGGGGCTTGACAAATCCGAAGGTGTGCGAGGAAAATCGGAGTTGACCGAACTGGGCATGTCGTCGGTGTGCATATATCCCGGATGTTGTAACATTGGGTCACTTTCAGGTGAGGAACCGTTCATACCGCCCATACAACCTTGATGCATTGGATCGAAAGTGTTCATCTGAAAATAGAAAAAAAAGTTGAATTTTAATAACGAGAATTAACCAACGTAATAATTCTAAAAACATACACTCGGAAGTTTCTTTTAATTTCTGTAGCACCTTGGTTCTGCCCAAAGTCCCAACCACGGTCTAAACATATGGTCGACATATTGCCATGCTAAATTCAAAGAGCGTGACTAGAATTACGCGATTCGCTTAACATAGTTATATTCTTTTTATTTCTCTTCCCTTACAAACCCAGATATCTAAATTTAAAAAAATCAAAAAGAGCAATCGCAAAACAAGAAACAAAAAAATCTCGATCGATTCCTTGTCGATAATCAATCAATTAAATGAACAAAATATCGATAGCATATTATTATTCATGATCAGAAAAAAAAACCGATCGATTTTCTATCATTCATGCTTATTCAGGCTTTAGATTTTGAACAAAGAAAATTCCAGCCGACCGTAATACATGGACATATATTGAATTTATTACAAAGGGAGGAGGATTATACAATCATGATATTGAGATAGTTTTAAATATATTTTTAAATATAATCAAGCTAAATTTATCGTATAATTCCAGATTTAGTTTATTTAGAACTCACGTACGAAGAAACGTTGATATTTTGTTTTCAAAGCGAAACGTTATTTATTGTCCGGTCGTTCGGCGAGACCACAGGTCGTACTTCCGAAAACTTAAACTATGGTATTTTAGGAATGCTGACGTTTCATTGGCTAAAAGCTAAAGTTTGTAGGCCTACTAGGATTTGGACTCTCAACCAATGGAAAGAATGTATCCCTAAATTATTTGAGTTTAAATTTTCGTGAATAAGAACCCATGTCGGTTGGAGAGACCTATTCATCTATCTATAATCCCGAGTGAGGGGTAGGGTTAGGGTTACTTATATCTTCACCAAACCGCTTTCCTTAGCCCTTTTATAGTTTCACTCACTGAGTGGGAATTCTCCAGTCCTCAACCAGGCATTCAAACGTCTATTGTGTACGTCATAAACTATTACGTCATCATAAACATAACGAATGTCTAAAATTTCAACGATTTAATAGATTTTGATGCTAAGACATGGAGATTACTGATTTTATAGATCTAGGGGCACAAGTTTATATGCTGTTCGGCCAAGGAATACAATTCCCTATTTTACCTTATTTATCTATAGACAACAATATTGCATATGGGCATTTCCTAATATATATGAGCTTGATCAATTAAGAGATTTCCAAGATACAGGCGTTTCATTTTATTTAATTGTCTTTCCATTTGAAGAGTTCAAAAGTTTTATAAACTTTTAAAATTCACACTAAATAGCAGCACTAATCCAAAAATAAACATCCAAGAGCGAAAAAAAAACCCCAACTCCTAAACATATATATATAACGACAAAAACAAACAAATTGTCAACTAATCTGGGTATGATAGGTAAATACTAAATTAAAAAAAAAAATTGCCGATAATTCAAAATTAAGATCAAAATAGTGGATAAATCAAATGGCGGATAAATCGAAATTAAAATCAAAATGGTGGATAAATCAAATTCAAAATGGCGTGTACATAACAAATAAAATAGCGGATAAATTAAATTTAAAATGGCGGGTAAATTAAAGTTAAAATGGCGTTTACATAACAAATAAAAACAAATATTATATTTAAAATCAAAATAACAGATAAATGAAAATCAAAATGGCGTGTAAACAAGAAATAAAATGGCGAAGAAAACAACACAAAATATAAAAAGAAGCAGGACTAAACCTAAACCAAGCAAAATGTCCACCCCAGACGGTGTTATGGCGGCAATCTAAGAAAATTAGAATAAAAGGCCAAGCAGGCATACCGTGGGGTGGATAGCCCGGATTTCGACCGAGCCCGATGTGAAGTTGTTTCGGGTCGGACGGCTTAGTCCTGGTACTAGATATAAACAACCGTGTCGTCCTCTTCGTGAGAGCCAAGAAAACTGCTCACCAGTTGTCGAAACGGAGCGTGGTGGGCGTCCATCTCACCCTGCATGGCAAAGTCACTCAGGGCCTTCCAAGGTGTCTGGTAACTCTGGACTTCAACTGGACTCGCCTGGATACCCGGGCCTTCATTTCGAACGGGACTAGTTGCTACCATGGGAACGCCTGACAATGGCCGACCCAATCCATTAGCATGCTGCAAGATAAAATACAACAGATATAAATTATGAGAAATTAAATAATTTTAAAATTTATTTATATATTAAGATCAATAACAGAATTATATTCTCCCGTGCAGAGTCGTGCAATGAGGCCCCTACCAACACAACCACTAATATGAACAAAACTGGTCGAAAAATTTAAACGGATATTTATTGTATTGGTACTGGATGAGCAAAATCAGTGTTTGAACATTAAAAGAAAACATGCCATGCAGCAAAGATTACAACATATATTATAAGCACGACGAACTTATATGTTTACAGGGCCCCCGCCCAATTGTCCCTTGAATAACATGTTATTTAGATATCAACGCTTTTGTTGTCGGGATTGGTTTGAAAAAAGTTGTCTCCGTATGAAAAATAATTTAAAAAGCAGACTCCCCTTTTCTAATTAATTACAATTTATATTAAACACACTATAAATGTATACAAAAGGGTATTAATAGTTTAGAATATAAAATTACAAATATTAAAAGAAACGAAACGCCCCAACACATAACAATAATTCCTTTTCACAAAAATGGTGTGTTTTCAATATTCTTAAAACGAAAATTATCTTGTATTTCGTTTTTAGAAAAAAGAAAACATACTCATTGTTATTCCCTAATAATACCACAATCATATCCGATCTCAAATAGAATATTTCGTTTCGTGCTTTCTTACAGTTCTAAAAATAAACGAGCGGATTTATAAATCGTGAAGAAAAACACGTCCAGATTTATAAACCGCTTAAAAATACCAGTGTGTAATTTGTAAAACACATCTAGTCACAGTGAAAACTTCATTAACAGAAACCGTCAACAGTATTTTTCAAAAAATGGGATTCTATTGGGCTTGAGCAATCACCAGGATACCTTAATATATTGTTGTCCTATTCCAGTTTGTGGTGATTTCTGTTTTTAAATTTTATAAAATGAAATGAAATGGGGTTTAACGTTATCTGTTCTGCTCCGACTGGGCTAATGAAGACGGGCATACGCCATACAGTGTGCAATGAGGGAAATTTTGCCCAGGCAGCGGCACTATGGCCTACTCTTATATCAATTCCAACTGCCAATGGATCTTTTACGTGCATGCCAATGTATACATGGGACGTAGGTTTTTCGTCCCATCCGAACGACTAGACAGTCGTTCTTGTCAGACCCTCCGTCCTGCATCACTGAACAAGGGAATCAACGTCGGAAAAATGTTTATAAGGGTGAATGAATATTTTTAAAACAATATTTATCCACAGAAATCTTATTATAAAATATCACGTGTCTCGTCTTAACTGATAAATAGATTGAAGGTCATGTTTCTACTATAATATCTCAAACAAAAACCGATCAGAATCGATAATATCTCAAATTAAAATCAATCATAATCGATAATATTTCAAATAAAAATCTATCATAATCGATAATATCTCAAATCAAAATTAACCACAATCAGTAAAATCTCAAATAAAAAATTCCAATCGATAATATCCCAAATAAAAATCAATCATAATGGCTAATATCTCCATTAAAATTCAATCACAATAGTACAACGTTATATGAGAACGATTATTGTTGAGTAATAGTTGAACGTTATGAGAGAACTATTATTGTTGAGTAATAGTAGAGCATTATGAGATAAATATCAATGCTGAGCGTTATGAGAGAACTATTAATATTCAGTAATAGTTGAGCGCTATAAGAGAACTATTATTGTTGAGTAATAGTAGAGCGTTATAAGAGAACTATTATTGTTGAGTAATAGTAGAGCGTTATAAGAGAACTATTATTGTTGAGTAATAGCAGAGCGTCATAAGAGAACTATTATTGTTAAGTAATAGTTAAACGTTATAAGAGAACTATTATTGTTAAGTAATAGTTGAGCGTTATGGGAGAACTATTATTGTTGAGTAATAGTAGAGCGTTATTAGAGAACGATTATTGTTCAGTAATAATAGAACGCCGTGAGAGAATTATTTTGTTAATTCAAAACAAGGTATATTTGCACAGACAATTGTGGAAGCCGTGTCTATTTCTGAACTAACTCGATTTATATATCAAATATAAACTTATAAATAAAATAAGTTTATCTTAATTATCGAAGTTTGGATGAATTTTAAGTGAGAGTGTAATGTTTGACAAATTTCGGGTGAATTTATATGGGAAAATTTATGCAGTATAGAACTGCAGGTGGATTTATACAGGAAACAATACTATAGTGAACACAATAATAGTTTATTTACAGAGCGACGGAGTTTCGAGTAGTTTTTATTGTTGGGTCATTTAAAGATATAAATATTACTAATATAGCCATAAACCTCGTTAATCCATTACTTAATACCCCTCCGACATTATTCATTATAATATATATTTCACCATCGTTTCATTCTAACATCAAAATAAATGTTAAGTCTTTTTTTTTTTAATTTCCATATTCGTCTTAAAACTGACCCGTTTTTTTTGCTTATTTTTCATTTAGTTCATTCATTCATTCATATTTTTGAAAGTTAGTATTTCATGAGAAAATTAATTATTGGAAAGATTTGTTTGCAATTGTATAAATTTATAAATGAAATCGTGATGGCCGCCTTTATGGATATGTATTGGTTTGTGGTGAAATGATGTCGACTCCTTATTACGGTATTTTGCCAATATGAATGAATTAATTAATGTAAGATTGTGCTATTTCTGTATTAAGGAAATAGAATTTATCTGAAGCCTACGATACACATGACGCCATATAAAAAAAAATAATTTAAAGTCTTTATTAGAATTTCATTTCGTCTTCTTTCAGTTAAAATTAAAAATATAAATAAATAATTAATAAACATATTAAGACAGTTATACGATAAGTAGGCCTAATTAAGGCCTAATTAATATAAGAAGCTTTTTGTGTATTTCCAGAAATATAATGAATAATTAGAGGTAATTAAGTATGGCTTCCTTGTTTAGTTACTAATTCTGTTCAAACTTCGGTCTAAATCATGTCTTCATTAGCCCAGTCGGAGCAGAACAGTAGGACGTTAAACCCTATTTCATTTCGGACAGAATCATGAAATCTGATATTTGTCCAAATATAAACTAATACTCGAAAAAAATCAATTGTCAATGGACTAAATTTGAATACAATAATTTTGTTGTCAAAACAACTTCGTTAAAGAAATAGGACATATTTGAAGATTAAAATAAAACTACAAAGAACGAGGGAAAGCAAGTTCGAGTCTCTTTTATCAACGTGATTACATGTTTGGTGACGTATCGCCGTGAGCACGTGCCAGCTGTTACGGGGATTTGATAGGCCTGTGTTCTTTAATTAGCTTACTAATTATGGGGGAGGGTGGAACGCCCGCGGGAGGAGAGGCTTCTGGCCGTAAACAAGTACCCTCCGCTACCCTCGTTCATGTTCATACCTGGGTGAATAGACAAATGAAGAAACGTGAACAATAGAGGTTTGATTGTACAAGCTGTTTGTGGCTGACGCTTGTTCGTCTGTCAGTTGTACAACCATATAATTACTTTTCCGGCTTCAATAAATATTTTTTTTTATAAATTACAAAAACTAACCCCGGTTCATTCACGAATGGAAATATATATCTCGAGGCCATACAATTCTTGGAAAAATCACAAAGAGATAAAACCCATCTGGATATAATTTGTATCTAGTATTTTATTTGGGTAAAATATGTCGACCTATTGACGACACGAGATCAAAGATAAATAACTTATTGATTAATTAGTTTATTATTGTTTAGTTTGATTTTACCTGATTGGATTTTTATGATGGGTTAATGATTTTAAAAATGTTGTTGAGGACACACACTATCTACATTAACCTGGTGGTCCAGAACGTAAGGTGCTAAACTACATTTCATTCTATTCCATTTTAAAGGTTCATTCGACACAATCAGGTAATTCCAGGGGAACCAGGAGAATATTAATGATGTAGGTGGTATGGTATGGGAAAAAGAAAGGGAGAGAGAGAGAGAGAGAGCTTGCACGTAGGAGTCTTTAGCATTAGGAGGGAACCGGAGGACCAGAAGAAAACCCACGTCCTTATTCCTAGTTGAGTACAAGCTAGGAATCGAAATATATGGCAAATGAGTATATGTGTATATGGTAAATGAGTATATGGTATATGTGTTTATGGTATATGAGTATATATGTGTGTATGATATATGAGTAATATGGTACATGAGTGTATTTGTGTATGGTATATGGGTATATGTGTGTATGGTATATTGGTATATCTATGTATGGTATATGAGTATACGTGTGAGTTATATAACATGTAAACCACATGCTAGATCAATTAGAAGTAATAAGGTGGGCGGGGTACCGAGAGGAAACACAGGGTGAATATAAGCTGTTTGTTTTTATCACGAGAAACATTAATTCATGGGGTGGAGTAGATTATATAATAGTGGTGACTCCTGGTACAACTTGAGTTCAACGTTTATACGTTACAAACCACCCAGATCTCTTGAACGTCATACGTCACAAATCATCCAGATCTGTTCAACGTCATACGTCACAAATCACCCAGATCAGCAGTTAATCACTCAAATGAGGCGCCAATACAAACTTTGCCGTTAAAATTCTGAAACTATTGTTTTAAATTCTTTAATAAAGAAAACTGTAAATGGTAAAACGTTTTAGCACGCGCAAATGTGTCCTGTCAAAAAAAAAGCCAACCCTTTTTGTTCAATCCTCCTGAAGACCGAAAATGCACCGGCTCCCCTCCCGTTAAGTAAAGATTAGTTAAAGTGCCTGGTTGGGTTTTACGCTTACATCGATAAATTTTCCTATCGCAGGTCAAGCTGATCTCATTTAAAACAAATTACCACTGTAACCACAAATTTCGTGTATACAGCTTTACGATAAAATAATATTAATTATCAATTAATAAGTCTTATATTATATCCAGCTTTGTTTAATTGTATAAACACAAATACAATTCTTTAATAAAAAAACAACTTCACAATCTATATATACACAGCTAG